GAAAATCAAAGCAGAGTTGATGCTTTTGAGTTGTGGTGTTGGAGAAGAATGCTAAGAGTACCATGGACTGCTAAAAGAACTCACAAATCTGTCCTGGAAGAAGTGCAGCCAGAATGCTCTTTGGAGAGAGAATGGCCAGACTTCATCTCACCTATTTGGGCCATGTTGTCACAATGAACCGTTCCTTGGAGAATATGTTTGGTAAAGTGGAGAGCCAACAAAAAAGAGGAAGGCCCTCAGTGAGATGGATTGACACTATGGCTGCGATGATGGGCTCAGTTATAGCAAGGATTGTGAGGTTGGCACAGGACTGGGCAGTATTTCATTCTGCTGTGCATAGGGTCACTTTGTGTCAGAGATGACTCAATGGCACTTAACAACAACAACAAAAAAAAAGTACACTGACCTATTTCCCATCCCTTATACTCACCAAAGTTAGTCTTGACTTTAGGACTTTGTACAGCTGTTCCCTCTGCCTGGAGTGCTCTAACATGTTGTGGTGTAGTGAATTACATGATATGGCTTTTGTAGCCATAGTCTTTCTAATTTCCACTGGATTACTGATTGGAACCATGCAAATATGTGTCAACTTGGCTGGGAAGCTGGTAGAAGTTATTCCCTATAATGATACTGGCAATTAACTCAGTGGTGGAATTTTTCATGAGCCACTGAGTAGCTGCTTTTAAACTCCTGATTGTTAAAGTCATCCACCTGGGGTATTTCTGTTGAAGCAGCATGAAGTACTCTTCTGAGAAACTTCACTCTATCTCAGGTGTGTAGAACACTGATGTTGGGATTGGTTAGTTTTGCCACTTTGCTAGGGTTAAAATAAGCCCTCCTAGAGGTAGAGTGGGACCTCTGATGGCATAATGCCTAAGGCATTTGACTGCTGACCAGAATGCTGGAAGTTCAAACCCACCAGCCACTCCTCAGAAGGAAGACTGGGCAATCTACTTCCATAATGATACCACCTCAGAAAACCAAGGAGGGATCTCTAGGGGTCGGATCTGACTCTATGGCAGTGAATTTGGTTTTGGTTTGGTAGAGGCAGAGTGGATAACTCACTACCAGCTGATAGAAATGCCTGGCTGAGAGAGACACCTGGCTGAGAGACAACGGCAACAGAACCAAAAGGCAGGCAATAGAGTGGCAGGCTTACTTGGCTCACAGAGGCAGAGGCCATCCCAAAAGGCCAAGGCCAGAGAGGCATGTCTAAGGTCACAGCAGAGGGAAGACTGTCCTGATCAAAGAACTGTATCCTGAGTATGTTACTGAACTTGAATTGTAGCCTGTTGCTTCCCTGAAAAAACACATAATTTGTGAGTTCTGGGTGTCCACTGAAGAAAATTATTGAACCCAGTGTGCTGTGGGAGGGACAGTTGGTGTCAAGGATGGTAAGAGAGATGGAAGGTGATGGCATGTCTGGCCTCATAGGAATAGGCCTTGGACTGATGATGGTGTTTCTGTCTTCTTCTTGTGAAGTTAGAGGAGGTCAGTAGATGCTGCCTCCATGTCTCTTTAGCACATGTAAACTTCAAGGGAATCACTATTTCTTGTCACTGAGGTCTCAGCTTATATGTCACTCCTCAGAAATGTCCTCCTGACCACATGCTCTAAAGTAACCACAAAGTCCTCTCTTCAGAATCACCCTAATTCAAGATCTTGCAGAGCACTTTTCTGAAATAGTCATAACGCACTGCCATGGAGTCAGATCCAACTCATAATGACCTCTCCTTGGGTTTTCAGGCAGTATCACTACAGAAGTAGAGTGCCCAAACTTTCTTCTGAGGAGTGGCTGGTGGATTTGAACTGTCAGCCTTCTTGTTACCAGTCAAATGCCTTAGACACTATGCCACCGGAGCTCCTACATCTGTTTATTTGCTCATCATCTGTCGGTTTTTCTTGCCCATCTGGACCATAACTCCACTCTGCATTAAACAATCAGTCCTACGAAAGTGCAGACCATTTCTATTTTGTATATCACTATAAATTAAATGTTTTTTAACAGCCTGGAGCAGAATAGATACTCTGTGTATATTTTTTTTTATTAAATAAACATTGTTTTTACCATGTAAACCTCTGAGACAAAAATGAAGGTTGAAAAAACAAAGGTTGAAATACTAACTGCTGGGGAATTACAGATTGTAAAGTCTATGTGAGAAAATGACAAAGATTCCTCTCCTAATAATGGGCAAACATTTTAAAGAAAATTCTTCCCAAGAAGATATATTATATCCTAGTACCCACATTTTCTTCTCTGAAGTCATAAGAGAAAAATCCCAATAGAAGTTCTCTTTATCCATAGCTGATCTAAATGGTTATCTCAGTTTCCTTGGGCTCATAAGAAAATCATTGGCCTCTCTTCACCACTCTTACTTGAGATCAGAGCAGAGAGTAAGAAGAGAATCCTCCTTTTTAATTCTCTTTGGGAAACAAAGGAATCTCTCCAAACAAAAGACTGCTCCAATAGAACACTTGCCAATCTGACTGGTGATTTATTTGCATGATACCAATTAGGGCATTTTTGTGAGTGGGGAAGAGTCCTTGGTGGTTTTTTTTTTTTTTTTTAATTTAATATGATTAAATAGATGTGATGGCTTGTCATTTTCTTCTAACTTGTTCCAGTTTGTACTAATATTTTTTATAAATGTTTTTATAAATGATTTGTTTTCCTGGAATCATTAAATATTGATTCATTAGTTGTTAGGTGCCATCAAGCTGGTCCCAACTAATAGCAACCCTAAGAGCAACAGAACAAAACACTGCTTGTTCCTGCACCATCCTCGTGATTGTTGCTAAGTTTGAGCCTGTTGTTGCATCAACTATGTCAGTCCATCTTGTTATGGGTCTTTCTGTTTCTTCATGACTCTCACCTTACCAAGTGTGATGTTTACCATGGTAAGGTCCCTCCTGATAACATATCCAAAGTATGTGAGAAGAAGTCTCACCATCCTCACTTCTAAAGAGAGTTCTGGTTGTACTTCTGAGACAGATTTGTTTCTTTATTTGTTTGCCCATGGTATATTCAATATTTTTTGCCAACACCCAAATTTGCATGCATCACCTCTTCTTCAGTCTTCCTTATTCATTGTCCAGCTTTTGAATATATATGAAGTAATTGAAAATATAATGGCTTGGGTCATGTGTGCACCATAGTCCTCAAGGTGACATATTTTATTTTCAACACTTTAAAGAGATCTTTTGTTGCAGATTTGACCAATGCAATATATCAGTTGATTTCTTGATTGCTGCTTCCATTGATGATGATTGTGGATGCAAGTAAAATGAAATCCTTGACAACTTCAAACTTTTTTGCTATTTATTACTATGTTGTGTATTGGTCCAGCTATGGAGATTTTTTATTTCTTTATGTTGAGGTGTAATCTGAGATTACAGTATGAATTGAAGGCTGTAGTCATTGACTCTCTTCAGAGAATGCTTCGAGTAACCTTCTCTTTCAGCAAGCAGGTTGTTTCCTCTCAATATTGCAGATTGTTAATGTGTCTTCCTCCAATCCTGATGCCATGTTCTTCTTCATTTGGTCTAGCTTCTCAGATTATTTGCTTTGCATAGAGAACAAAAATGGTGAAAGGATACATCCTGATGCACACTCTTCCTTATTTTGAACCATGCAGTATCCCCTTGTTCTGTTCAAACAACAGCTTCTTGGTCTATGCACATATTCTGCATGAGTATAATTAAGTGTTCTGGAATTCCCATTCATTGAAATGTTATCTGTAGTTATTATTCAAACAGTCAAATGCTTTTTCATTGTTCATAAGACACAGGTTTATTTTTTTTCTTACTCTTGGCTTTTTACCAACATCCATCCACCACCAGCAATAATATCTCTTATTCTATATCCTCTTCTGAATCCAGCTTGAATTTTTGATAGTCCTCTATCAATCGACCATTTTTCATTATCGTTAGCAAAATTTTACTTGCATGTGATTTTGGTAGCATGTACCATTTTTTGTAGTACCAAATTTGAGAAGTCTGCTGACAAAGATGGAAGGAAGATTGGGCCATCGACTTCAGTAGCGATAAAGCCTCAGAAACGCAAGAAGGGGTCTCTATGTGTCTCATCTGACTTAAAGGCAGTGAATTTGGTTTGGCTGACAAAAAAGAAAACTAATCTCCAGAGGTTCAGTTTTAACATCATTTAAAAAAAAAAAAAAAAAAAGTATAGAGTGGATTTTCACTGAGATGTAATTTAAACTTATGTGTGTCAAGAAAAATTCTCATGTAAGGGAATTTGATAAATTTATAAAATTTACAAATACACATTCACAAGATCAATAATTCTACTCTAAGAACTCATCAGTGCCAAATTATTTAGTTTTATAAGAAATACAATCATAATGTTCTTAGAAGTAAGGATGGCAAGACTTTGGCTCACTTACTTTGGGTACATCATCAGGAATGATCAATCACTAGAATAAAAAAAAATAATAGTTTGTAAAGAATGGTCAGCAAAAATGAGGGAAACCCCCAAGAGATAATTTGACACAATATCCATAACAATGGAATCAAACATAACAAAAGTCATAAAGATGGCACAGGATCAAGAAATGTTTCTTCTATTATATATAAGGTCACCATAGTCAGAGACAACAGCAACTAACACCACCAAAAATGAATTAACCTGAAATCCACCAAAGTTGGCATCTTCACAACATGTCTTCACAGAAATCTCAGACATGACCAGTCAACTATTTAACAATCTTATCAATTCTGGATGTATCATCATTCAACTTTCTGTGCATCAAAGTTATATTTTTTTCCTGTTATCATTACTGTCTATGAAAGAATGGATGAAGGGTAGACACTCCCTCTCTTTATGTTGTCTTTCTTCTGAAGTGATTTATACCCTGAGCTTAATTTCTCTGATTGTTTTAGTTATTTGCATTTGATTTTTCACTTCATACTATTTTCTCCATGACTTTTTCTATTGTGTGTCTTTACTAGGATTTGGAATCTATAACTTACAGAGGTTTTATTTAGGTAAATATCCTTCTCTTTAAAGTCTTCCTCAGTGCAGCATGGACATCTTTGTTTCTCAAACTATAGATGAAAGGATTCATCATTGGACTCACAATGGTATAAAAAACTGTGGATACTTTATCTTGATCAAGACAGTCCAAAGAAGATGGCCTAAGATACATGAATCCACCTGATCCCAAGAAAAAAGAAGCAAATTATGTGGGAGCTGCAGGTACTGAAGGCTTTAGACCTGCCCTCTTTAGAATGAATGTGGAGAATGTTGGAAAGAATAAAAGTGTAAGAAGTGAAGATGGTGAGACTTGGCACTATTATACTGATGCCAGCTACAATGAAAGCTACTAGCTCATTGATATAGGTGCTTGTACAGGAGAGATGGAGAAGAGGTGGTATGTCACACATGAAATGATTGATGATGTTGCCATCACAGAAGATGAGTCCAAGCATGGACCCTGTGTGAGCAATGGCACCAACAAATCCCATTGCATACGCACCCACCATCAGCATGAGGCAGACCTGAGGGGACATAATGACCTTGTAAAGCAGGGGCTTACAGATGGCCATGTATCGGTCATAGGCCATTAATGTTAAAACACAACACTCATCAATAACAAAGAATGAGAAGAAATAAAGCTGAGCCATGCACTCTGCATAAGTGATGATGTTTCTTTTTACAAAACTTATCAACATTTTGGGGATTATGACAGAACAATTTGTTGTTGTTGTTGTTATGTGCCATCGAGTCGGCCCCGACTCATAGAACAATAGCAGAGATCAATGAAGGAAAGGTGGAGGAGAAAGTAGTACATGGGGATGTGAAGGTGAGGATTCAGTCTAATTAGAACAAGCAAGCCAATGTTTCCCACCACAGTGACCACATAGATTCCTAAGAAAAGGAAGAAGAGAGGCAGCTGGAGCTCTGGCTGCTGTGTTAAACCCAGCAGGATAAACTCAGTCACTGAAGAGTCATTTCTTGAGGTCATTCTTCTTTAGGATCTATCTGTGAGAACATAAAACACAGTAGCACCATTAATATGTGTACCCAATACAAATATATATATATATATATATATAGAGAGAGAGAGAGAGAGAGAGAGAGAGAGGGGGGGGGGCAATTTCTGTAGAAATCAAATTAAGGAACCTTATAACTACTCTTGACTATACAGTACCTCTGCCCCATGTCTGTATTAACAGTCCACCAGGCATACCTCAGGATCAAGGTTGGGCTAAGCAGAGAGATGAGGCTCCAGAAACCCTTGGCTCTCATAGATGAGATTTAGAGAAAGAATAGCAAGACTAGATAAAACTCAATACTCACCTTTCTCCATCAGGACTTAAGTGCAAGACTTAAGACTCTTTTACATTATTCCCATGGAAAGGAAAATGTCTCTGATGAATGTTAGAGGTAAGGAACCTAAAACAGAGGTTATTATGTCTGTTAGTAAATATTAAATATTAAATTATTAAAGAAAGATTGTTATTATCTTTGTTTTTGGTGAGCTTTGAACTGTGAAAGCCAACCCACAGACCTCAAAACCCCAGTTTCTGAGAAGCTATGAGTAAAAAACATGATTTATGATTGTGGGAGTGTGGATTTTCTGAGTATCCTTTCCAGCTGAAAGGGAAGTAAATTGCATCAGCTGGTGAAGAAACCACTTGCTAATATGATCCAAGAGGTTTTTATGAGTTGAGAAATCCTAGGGACCTGATTAAAAGTTGGAAACCAAGTTTCCCCAGAATTTTCCATAGAGACCCAGTTAACAGAAAACACATATAAGCAACTCTATATTTTTAGCCTCCTTTGTGAGAACATTGACTTATTGGAAATATGCCATTTTACATACCTTTTGACTTCTTACCAAATGGGACACATCCCAAATAGAAAAGCAGGATGTCCTTCTCTGCATCCAGAGTGGGTTCTTTCTATCATCTACCACTATATGAAATACCATACATTTATTAGTTTGTTTGTTACATCTTCCTATAACACATATTCACACATTCATGTACCCACATACATTTGAATCTAATTTCCACAGGGACAGGAATTTTGTCTATTTTCTTAATTTCTATTGTTGTTGGAACTAAAATAATCCTTGGCATATGTAGTAGGTTCTCAATAAATATTTTTATATAAAATAATGAAAGAAGGAGAATCCCTTTTCCAATTTCTTGCAATCTCTACTGGGTTCTACAACACAATTCTTGTCCAAGAGACAAAGACTTATGCAGTGTCAAGAAACTTCATCTCTGTAGAACATAGCATGAGGCAGGAAAATCAACAATAAGGAATACAAGGTCTCTAATGAACTGTTAGAGGCCACTAAAAGCATAAAAATTATTGAGCTCAAAGACAGAAGAAAATTTCCCTCTTCCTTGAGTATCACAAACAGCACTTCCACAGATTCTCAGAGAGATCCCAAGGTCTTGCTGCTGAACTGCACCATCAAACTGAAAAATAAACTCACTACCCTCGAGTCAGATCCAACTCATAGTGACCCCTTCTTGGGTTTTGGAGGCAGCATCACTATGGAAGTAGATTGTCCAATCTTCCTTCCAAGGAGTGGCTGGTGGGTTTGAATGCCTGCCTTCTGGAACTGCAGCATGTTGTTGTTGTTGTGTGCCATTGAGTCAGACCCGACCCATAACGACCCCTCCTTGGGTTTCCGAGGCAGTATCACTAGGGAAGTAGATTGCCCCATCTTCCTTCCAGGGAGTGGCTGGTGGGTTTGAACCGCCAGCCTTCTGGTTAGCAGTCAAGTGCCTTAGCCACTATGCTACCAGAGCTCCCAAACTGCAGCATAGAGACAGGAAAAAAAGCGGTTTGGATCAGTATAGTAAAATCTCAAGGGCCAAAATCAAGCATCTGTTTAATTTAGGAGCCACTCAGATTGTTTCCACCAGCTACTCCTCAGAAGGAAGATGGGGCAATCTACTTCCGCAATGATACTGCCTCAGAAACTCAAGGTGGGGTCGCTATGCGTCAGGTCCGACTCAACAGCACACAACAACAGATTGTTTAATTTCTTTGGCACAAGATTAAAATAACCAAAGTGTTGACTTAAAAGGAATAATATGGAGGATTCTGGTAGGCAGTACTCAAGTTAGACTAGCAGGCAGTACAGTAAGCTGTAGGGCACAATTACAATAGGCAATAAATAATACAAAAATGTCCTGAACTAATGGTGCTATTGTGAGTAATTCAAAGAAACCTATGCAAGAGACCTTCCAAGGGAATAATTACCAGGACTTCTCACAAAAGGAAGATAAATAGACCAAAAAAAAAAAAAAAAAATTCCTGTGGTAGTTAAATTATGTATCAACTTGGCTGGTCCTGGTTTTAAGTGGCTGGGCAACTGGATATAGTTATTCCCCATGATGAGACTTGTAATCGACCTCATGGTAGAATCTATTGGAGCAGCTGAGTAGTTGCCTTAGGAGTGTGGTCTGCTTCCAGAATAAAAGAAGCATGGAGAAATGTCTCTGGAGCTTTTGGGCACACTAGGATGCTGCATATAACTGAGTCTTCATCTCACTGGCCTGCCATGTTGTCTGCCAATCTTGGGATTGTTCATGGACTTGAATTAGTGGCCTGCCATATTGCTTGATAATCTAGGTACTGTGTCATTTTACTTATCGACCTTGGGTTTGTCAGCCTTAACAGCCAGCAGCTCCCTGAGCTAAGAGATGCCTCCAGCTTCAGTGGGTTAGATATAAGAGGCAGAGCTAAGGCCCATGGTCAAGGGGCCTTCACCCAGCCCCTAGAGCTGGCACCATGAACTCAGACTTCTAGCCTCCTAAACTGTAAGAGAATAAATTCCTGTTTGTTAAAGCCACCTATTTGTGGCATGTTCTGTTAGTGACACTGTGTTGTTGTTGTCTTTATGTTCCATCTAGTTGGACCTGACTCATAGGGACCCCTCCTTGGGTTTCCAAGGCAGTATCACTGTGGAAGTAGATTGCCCCATCTTCCTTCCAAGGAGTGGCTGGTGGGTTTGAACTGCCAGCCTTCTGGTTAGCAGTCTAATGCCTTATGCACTACACCACCATATCCTATGATAGATAAGAGGTCCTCAATATTAAGATTAAATGCAGATTGCTACTCAGAAACCATGCAGACTACAAGGCAATGGAATGATATACATAAAGTACTGAAAGAAAAGAATTGTCAACTATCGACTTCATTGCTATTTCTCTTGCATCTAAAACAATTATTGATGTACGTAATAGGTTCTTAATAAATATTTTACATAAAATAATGAAAGACAGAGAATCCCTTCTTTTTTAGCTAAAGCATTCTTTATTCAGCTGTTTTTCTTCATAAATGAGGGTGAAATCAGGAAATTACAAAAGAAACAAAAATTGAGGGAATTTGCTACCACCACACCTGCATTGCAAGAATTACTAAAGGCACAGTAAATGTCAATGGACAGATATCAGAAGCTGTACAAGGAAAAGGAAAATTTTAAAAATAATAATAAAGGAGACATCTCCAATCAAGGCAATAACATGGGCAAATTAAAGGGCCAGTTTTATGGTATCTCCAGTGAGTAAATTTAGTAGTTGAGTTCTACAAGCAATATAAAAAATGCTTAAGAAATAAGTAGAAAGTTAGCCTAATGGACACAGGATGTAAAATGGTATGATTGGAGTCACAACAACAGAGATGAGAAAGGGAAGAAGAAATAGGAATAGAGTTTTAGTATATTAATGTTGTATGTTATTTGTGGTTTATCTCTCAAATGTTGGTATCAAATTAAAACAAGATGGTATAAATGCAACTGGTTAAATGTGATTTTTATGCTTACCACTAAAAAATATTTTAAAAATATACACAAAGGGCAAGAAAAAAATAAAAAAGATTCAACATAAAAAAAATAAAGAAAACATCTAAACCAAAAAATTACAAAAGTATAGGTACTATATAACAAAGACAAAACAAGGCAAACAAAAAGCAATTACAAAATTAATGAAATAGTTTTTTCGTTTTCAATAATTACATTAAACATAAATTGCTTAAGCCATCCCTTCAAAAGGCATGAATAGTCAAATGGACCAAAAAATATGATCCAACCTTATGCTTTGTACCACTCCTTAGACCCAAGGATACAGATAAATTGAAAGTGAAAGTAAAGAATAATCCATACAACTGAAAGAAAATAAAAGGTTGCCTTCAAGTGGATTCCTATTCATTACAATGTTGTAGGACCAAGTTGAACTGTCCCATAGGGTTTCAAAGCCTGAAATATTTATGCAAGAAGATTGATATGTCTTTATCCCAAGGAGGTGAGTTAAAATTGCCAAGCTTTTTGTTAGAAGCTGATTGCTTTAACCACTGCACTACTAGGACCCTTTTCCCTATAATTAGTAATCAGAAAAGATCAAGGATAACCATACTGACAACAGACAAAATAGATTTTGTTTATTAGTTTGTTTTTGTTTTTTGTTTTCTTTTTTTGGGGGAATGTGGTCCCATTAACCTTCCTACCCCTGTTCAGCTTGAGTGTCTATCTATGTATCCACTGGTAAATTTTTGTTATTACTGTTATTGCAGGACAAAGGATTTGCCTTTGTTGCTTTTAACTGGAGGTCCTCCCTATCTGTTCCACTGCCTTGATCGTTTTGTGCTGACCTCCTCTTCATGGAATATGCCATTCCTTTCCCCCAAGATAATAGGGGTCTAACCTATAGATGGCGATTATCCCTGCCTTCCCCTCCCACCTCTGGGAAGGGAATCATTAGTAAAAAAAAAAATGCTACAAGACATGAAAGAAGGACATTATATAATAATAAGAGGTTAATCCATCAAGCAGACATGTTGTTTTTGTTGTTGTTATGTGCCGTGGAGTGGGCCCCGACTCATAGTGACCCCTCCTTGGGTTTCTGAGGTGGTTTCCGAGGTGGGTTTCCGAAGTAGGATTGCCCAACCTTCCTTCCGAGAAGCAGACATAACAATTATAAATATATATGCACCTAACGTCAA